GATTTCATGACCCTCCATGTGTGATTTTTCAAGGGAATAGGATTTCATGACCCTCCACTGCAAAATGCAAAAGTAAAAAACAAACGACGTCTTAAGCATCAATGGTCATTTTGTAGTGTCATTCCTAATTTTGTAGCATCACACTAGGGAAGATAATTTATGACACGACGCGACAAAAATAAATGACACAATACGAAATTGGGATGAAACTGAAATTTGAATTCGTGTCTGTGTCAAGTGTAAACAACACAATGTCGTGTCGTGTCGTGTTCAAAGTTTGATACGAAATTGACACGATTTAGCATTTGTTTGTCATGTTTTTTGTATTTGTCGTGTTATGTATGATTAAGTATTAATTAAATAAAGTATTTTTTATTTTATATTATCTTTGTCGTATAGTGTCGTGTTTGTCATTTTTTAATTGGTTAATTTCCGTATTAGTTAAAAAAACATGACATCATATCGTGTTTTCGTGTTACATAAAACATTATCATGCTGTGTCTTATCAAACAAAAACACGACACAATTGTCTGATTTGTCATCCCTACGTCACACTACAAAATTTGTGGTTATGAGAGGAATTTCCTTGAATTTGATTAACGTTTATCAATTTGTCTAATAAAAATAAAATAGTTGTTTTTGTCATTTTCGTTTTTTATTGGTTCGCAATCTATGCGTAAACTGCTTGTGATTGTCCACTACTTCACTTTGCCTTATGGTTTGATAGCCAACACCCATAGATAGTAATAAAGATTAAGACAAAAACCTCGTGAAAATCATTTTTAAAATAAAGTTTAATGATATTATAATAAAGTTAATAATAAGGGAATACATGAATTTGACATGACATCCGAATTCAGTCTCTTGATACAATGTATGGCAATTAAAAAGAAGCTGCAAGCCTTAAAAAGTATTAAAAATTCTATTTTTTTTTTAAGGGAAGCTAAAATCTTGGGGTTTAGTTTAAACTTATAACATTTAGCTTGGTTTTTATATAAAGTATATATGTAACTGCTTGATTTTTATAAAAACCATAAGGTATTGAATCTCGTGCCTGGCTCTCATGCCATCGGTCCCAACTAGATGGGGTGATTCATTCAAATGCAAAGTCAATTCGGACGGAAAATTTACGGTAGATACCATTCGGCGACTCATTAACAGAAAAATCATTTTGAATGGTGAAGATACAATAAGATACAATAGTTTGGTTAAAACAGTCCGGCTAGTTGTTGTTTCTGTGAATGTGAAGAAGGGTCAATGAACCATGTTCTTATTAGTTGCAATTTTGCTCAATCAACACTAGATTGGATCCTGAAGTGGTTCGGGTTTACACAAACACGTTTCACGAAGGTGGCGGAATTCCTCAACTTTGCTGCAGGATGAAGTAATTGTCCAAAAAAACGAAAGATCCTACTGACTATCTTTTATGGATTCATATACCAAATATGGAAGACGAAAAACGAGAAAATTTATAACAAGGTAGTGCAGTCCCCTACTATTGTGGCGGATGATGTAATTTCATTGACTTATACATGGTAAAAACATATGGAAAAGAATACAAATAGCGAGAGGGTGGTATAATGTACACTTATGCAAGCTTCTATTTCATTGTCAAACCTTGCCGCATCGATACCGCCATCCTTATATTTTTTCAACTTTTGTTTAATAACTTTTTATTATTATTTAGAGTAAATTACTAAAATCCTCCATGTGGTTTGACTAAAATTACGTGTTTGATCCCTAATTTTTTTGGCACTCGGTTATCCATATTGTTTCTTTTTGTTACGATTTTTGTCCCTAATAGACATAAATCAGACTATTATACCCTTACCAGATTTTGTTTATATTTAAAGGAGTAATAAAGATTAGACAAATATTTCATAAAATTATTTAGATATTATTAAAAAAGTTGGGTGCCACACATCCCTACCACCACCACCCCAAACCCCCAGTCCACCTATTCACTTCTATAGCTAGACGTCATCGTTCATAGTTCAGGCCATACCTTTTTCCCTCTGAACTCAAGCCTAAAGCACCGATCTTCACCTCAACTCCCCGTTGGAGACGCCTCCGTCCGAGACCTGAAATTCTATAGTCGTCGCCATCAGCCAGCATGTGAACACCATCATTAGAAGCCCAACACCCCTAAATATGTTGGTTACCCATAGGCAAACTCCACCAATTTTTTATCGAAAGATTCCCGAATGTTATCATCTCTGCCAAAAACCTCCAGATGTTGGACAATCAAATCAAAAATTACAGAGAGCATCGTTCCTATCTAACCCCATTTCTTCTTGTTCCATCGACATCATAGATTTCATCGGGAAAAATCATCTTCAGTTCATTTCATTAGTTTTTGGATTTGATTTCTAGGATTTCATAATCGATTTCAAGTTAGGTTTTACGTTTTAGGTTTTGATTTCCAGATTTGGTTTTAATTGTAGTTAAGGTTCTAAATTCAGGATTTTAGGATTTGGTTGTGGTTAGGTTTTGATTTTAGGATCGATATTGGTCTGGTTGTGATTTCTGAGTTTTGATATTGGTTTTGGTTTGATTTTGATTTGGTCCGTGTAGAGAAATTATGGTTGCAGGAGGTGAATGATGGTTGTTGTCGGAAGTAAATTGTGATGGTTGTCGGAGGTGAGCATGGTGGTTGTTGAAGGTAAATGGGGTGTCACCTGATGAAATCAATGATGTCAACAGCCTAAATAGGTAGGTGGTGGTGTTGCCAGAATAGGTGAGTGATGGTGACTGGTGGTGACAGTGGTGACTAGTGGTTTCCTGGTTGTAGTGGTGGGAGTATTGGGTTTTCTATGCATCTATACACACAATCTAGGTAGTGGAAAAATCGAACTATGATATACCTAAGTGTACATACACCCTAAGATTTATGAATTCATACCAATTACAGCTACCTTATAAAACAAAAAACATAAAGAAGAAAAAACATACCTCTTATGTAGCCCATGATCTCCATGTTTGGGATCTTGTCCTCCACGAAGTTGCTTGGATAAGAGGACCCAAACCAAAATCCCTCTAATGGTATCACACCCGATGACACTAAAGAGTGGAATAAAAATAACTATGATAATGGTGAATTTCACAAGCATTAAGAGGGTAAGATATCGTCCCTATGTGGGAAATGAAGAAGGGTTGGCGAAACTTCAAACCAAGGTGCAAGGATGAATGAAATCCCTAAAGCCCTATTTATAGTTTTGGATCCCTTCCTAGGTTTTGTACTCCTTCCCATGTAGGATAGGAGGCCAACAACGAAATTTACTCTTTTTTCCATGTGGGATGGAGTGATTTTCATCAAACCCTAATTCCAAAGGGGTATTGAAATATTCTTGATCAACCAACTACTGATTAATTAAATATTCAACTCTTTAACTAATTAAACTTTTAATTAATTCACAAAATATATTTCCAATTAGTTTCTAATTAATTATTAACCATAATAATTAATAAACTAATTTTTCCTTTATTTATTCTACTCAATTTGGGTCTTGAAGATAACTCATAAGGATCATGTTATTATTAAAAGTATTACCAATAATTAATGACATTGGACACTCTTTCCAATAAGAAGTTGGTCTTATATGTCTCTAAATCATTTAATATATTTTCAATAATTAATAAATAATAAAAATAGGTAAAAAATATATTATGGGTAGTATAGTCTTTTCATGTTTGGGTGGGATGAAAGACGCAATAAAATCATACCTTAAGGACGGTCCGAATGCAAAACAAAAGTTAGGAACCCAATACATAATTTTAGCCAAACTATAGGGACGATTTTAGTAATTTACTCTATTATTTAATAACAAAAGGCGCGTACAAACACACACACACATATATATATATATATATAACCAATTCTTGACAGAGGTTAGAAGGCAAAAGATGCGTTAAAGCCATTATCGTCATTTCGCGATAAATAAAAATGAAGGCAACCATCATAAATAAAAAAAATATCCTTATTCTTCTTAAATAATGTAGCTCGCTCAGCCGACTACATCTTTCTAAAGGTCGGAGTTCAAAACTCCGACCTAGGCTACGTGTTTAGCCAAAGAATATCCTTATTCTTCTTAAATAATATAGCTCGGTCAGTTGACTACATCTTTCTAAAGGTCGAAGTTCAAAACTCTGGCCTAGGCTACCTGTTTAACCAAAGAATATCCTTATTCTTCTTAAATAATGTAACTCAATCAGCCGACTACATCTTTCTAAAGGTCGAAGTTCAAAACTTCGACCTAGGCTACCTACTTAGCCTATGAATATATTTATTATTCTTAAATAATGTAGCTCGGTCACCCAACTACATCTTTCAAAAACTGGAAGTTTAAAACTACGACCTAGGCTACCTGATTAGCACAAGAATATCTTTATTCTTCCTAAATAATGTCGCTCGATCAATCGAATACATCTTTCTAAAGGTCGAAGTTCCAAATTCCGACATATGCTACCTGCTTAACTAAAGAATATCCTTATTCTTCTTAAATAATATAGCTCGTTTGGCGGACTACATCTTTCTAGATGTCGAAGTTCAAAACTCCAACCTAAGCTACTTGCTTAGAAAAAAAAACTTACATCTTCCCAAAACAAAATAAGACATGGCACACAAGTCACAAAATGGTCACAATTGGCCTCCTTTTGAAATTTTAGTTTCCCCTCAAAAAATAGCAAGAAGATCAAGCAAACAGTATAGAACCATCCCTGAACAACATCACATACCTAGGACATATATGTAGAAGCATATTATGAGGAAAACCATGCAAAAAGAACTGTCAAACAAATATACAACTAAAACACCATCAGTTAACTACCATAAGGATTAGCACAAGGGACAAGTTGTCATGAAACAACATTGCAAAGAAACGTGAAGCATCAATATCCAAAGTCAGAAAATCCAACATTAGATGTACGACAAATTGACATAACCAAATTATACTATTCATGGAAGCAAAAGGAATTATAACAAAGTAACATCACCCTACCATTTAGGACCCACTAGCACCAACACCACCACCACTGCTCGTAGACGCCCCACTGTTAGGAGGGCCCACCAATGTACATAACTGATCAATATTCGCTAAAGGAAAACCAAATTCAAACAAGTAATCAAAACAAAATAAAGCAGAGAATGCTTCTTCCATCTTCTGCAAACGAGTAGGAGCATATAGCGGAATATCAGTGTCGATCAATCCCAAATTATGCTCTGCATTCATCATCTTCAAACTAGTAATCAAAACAAAATAAAGTAGAGAATACTTCCTCCATCTTCTGTACACGAGTCAGATCATATAGCAGAATATCAGTCTCGCTTAATCCCAATTTATGCTCTGCATTCATCATCTTATAACCAGTTCTCCTGCCAAAATCAACACAAACAGCTTGAAGATCACGATTAGCCTAAAAAAAAGGATGACACAACAATAACTTTATCCACCAACTACGAGATCCCACATGATAACACCCAAGACATATCCCCATCGGCTTTGTGTAACCTGCTCTCAAGTCCAACTACACTTGCCTATAAATCAATGTTTCAGAGAGAAGAGTCATTCAAGCCACCCTTTAACTTTTGAACGCCATGCTCCGATATAACTATTTTGTCCACCAAACCAACTTTTTCCAACTCGAGGGATGCCACCGTAGCCTTTGGCGTCGAAACCTCATCCTGATAACCAACCAAATTGCTCTCCAAAACAAGCTTTCTATATTGCATAACGGGCAGTTCACCCCTTACCTTGTCCATCTCAGTTGGAGAAGTGATGGGTTTTATGCATAAGACAATCCTATGTGCTTATACAAACCCTAATGCTTGGATCTAGGTTTCTCTATTGTACATGCTTTGAATCCAAGACTTGTAAACCTAGATCTATCATATATAATTCGAAATCAACATCATAACAACAGATCTAAGTGTTTACCTCTTTCAAATGGCTTAAAATTCTTGTAGTCTTCTTGATCTTGAGCTTAGAGTCACAATTGTAACTCCTCTAATGGTTCACAAACCCCACAAGCAGGAAGGCAATATGAGAGAGGGTGAGAGATGCTAAAATTGGCCTTAGGGTTCTCTTGGAATCAAGTGTAGCCGATTTTCATATCCTAGGGGTCATATTTATACTACAGGATGCTAGGGTTTCAGTCTAAACCCTAATGGATAACTTAGCCACCAAGCAGCCCAAGGAACCTTCTGGAATAAGGCCTTGGACGAAAATATGATGGATCCCCATCATAATTTTGTTCCCCCTTTAGTCCATTAGGTTTCCCATCCCAAAACTCAACTATCATACATTTGACAGTTTATGCCCCTTTATTTAATTAGTCTCTTTTAGTCACTAAATTAATTCTTAATTAATTTATGACCAATACTAATTAAATAAATATGATTTCTCCTTTAATATATTATTCTTATAATATATTAATAAACCATAATATTCTCTCTCTCTCTCTCTCTATCTCTATCTCTCTCTCTCTCTCTCTCCCCCCTTAAATTACCTTGTCAAGTTGCTTTGGTGAAGGCAACCCAAAAGGACCATGCACAACCGGGTCAAGTACATACCAAACAATTACTAGTGGTTCGGAATTGGTGCCTTAGACCCACTCCTACTGGAAGGTAACTCATCTCGATGTCGTGTAGTGTCTGAACTGTCCTCGACGTGAAGGTCGACTCTCCTCGACTCCTCAATCCCTACACGACAACCCTCAAGTCATCAAACAAAACATACAACCCTAACCAGGGTCAATACCAAAACCAGACAGAGTCAACATTGGTCAAAGTCAACACCTAGTTGACCTCACTTGCCGAGTTGGTCTACCAACTCGTCAAGTCCATACTCCACTAACCTGATCCAACCCCGACTCCACTCGTCGAGCCTAGCAAGAACTTGACGAGTTCTCCTCCATTCAAACCATCAGGACCATCTTCATCCGACTCGCCGAGTTCTTCCTTGAAGTCAGCGAGTTCATCTCCCTCATAAGAACATGTCCAGTCTACGACTCACTGAGTTGTATGAACAACTCGTCGAGTCCTTCTTCAAAGATTGGGAGATTGCCTTAGACTTGCCGAGTCTGCTCATACACGCGTCGAGTCCCATGATTCCCAGGTCCCTTTTCGCATCTAAACATCTACCAGACTTTCCTCCCTAACAACTGGTCCATCCACAGAAAGGATTTAGTGGTCATTACACCGCGACTCGGCGAGTCCCAAGAACAACTTGGCGAGTCCATCCTTGACCAATACTATACAGTCAATTTAGATGAGCTTTAACACCTCAAAACCATAGATCTGGCCCCCTAATGTCCATTCCATACGTAAAGCTCCATACTTGGTGCACATGCATGGGGGATTTGGCTTAAAAAGCCATAAAAGGTGCTCTACAAGATGCATGGGGCTCTCATGGCCATAAAGTTGGCACCTTTATGCCATGAGACCGTTCCAATGACTCAAATCTAAAATCAAAACCCCATATAACACTCCACAAATCTGAATATGGCTTGGAAAGCCCTAAATGTGTCCAAAACCCAAGTCTAAAGATGAATAAACACATAGAAGACCAAGACAGGGGCATTTTACCTTGATTGTGCTGAAAATGGAACTAGATCTCTGAATCTCTAAGCCCCAACTCGAACTCTCAATCTTCTTTCTTCTTCTTCAAGCTTCACAAACCACCAAATGTTCCAAAATTACCTTAGAACACCCAAAAATGGTTAGGGTTTCGATACACAGCTTTCTGGGAGTGATAAGGGTGATAGAGGCTGGGATAAGGTGTTTAAATAGGGTGCAAACCCTCAGATTTAGGGTTTCACTCAACCAACACCTACTCATCGAGTCAGTCCCCCGACTCGTCGAGTAGGTTACTTAAACTGTCCACGGGTCACGACTCTACTCGACGAGTTGGGCCTCCAACTCGTCGAGTCCCAGAGAAAAGCACAAAATACTTGAATAATAGGCATACCAGGAATCAGGTGTTACAGTAATACATAGTGAGGATAAAGAACCTACATAAAACCCCTTATGTTTAAAGTTGGTTTGGAAGATGAAATTACACCAAATGAATTTACTCTGCTAAAAAAGATTAGTGATGATGGCTTCGTTAGTAAATTGTGTCTGGATATAGGAGAGAATGCACCAAATGATAAAGAAGGAAAGAATGTAGATGAGGAAGCCCATGCTACTTTTAATCATAACCTACATTGGAAACAATAAAAACATATTTTAGGGACGAGAGTTGAGAACACTATGCACCTTAAGAGCCTGCTATGTAATTATGTTGTTGCAAATAAATATCAACTATGTTTCTCAAAGATAACAGTAAAATGATTCTAGTCATGTATTGTAAATGAGCTTTCACCTTTTAGATCGTGGGCATCTTGGATGGTGAAAAATACTCATTTCAAATAAAATCAATAAAAAGTGACCATCAATATGCTAGAAACTATAAGACAAAAAAAAACTCACTATTACATAGATAAAAATTCACTATTAGATAACTCAAATCGGTGATCATTAAGAAATTTGGTATTGATGTAAGTTTAGGGCAATGTATAAAGGGCCAAGAAACATGCTTTGACTATTATTGAATGTCACGCCCGTAGATTCGGGCTAGTCAATTTAGAGATGATAAGCGTCAAAAATGATTTTTTTGATAGAGGATTATTTACAACAAATAATCTCAACTAAGTTGTAGTATATGTCACAAGGTTTACATACATATAAACAACACTGAAATCTGAGTTATAACGAAGAAGTTATTACTTGTCGAAGTTTCGCGACAAAACTGGCACGACACCGAGAATCATAAAAAGTGAGTTCAGGATAAAATAGTTTTTAGCCTTTTTGACCTAAAATAAAGTTGTAGATTACGTCTCCACCTACGCGTGGATATAAAAAACGTCGAAAACGGAACTCGTATGCAAAAGTTATGGCCTTCCGAAGATGTTGTTGTCTAAGGGCATGACACATGGCAAAAACCCTAGCCGCCTTAAGTCACGACGTGAACATCAAGTTCACGACATGAAATGTGTCAGGGACACTAATCGGGGTTAGAAAACACGTGTTAAAGCTACGTGATGACTCATGGAAGTTCACGACGTGAACCTATCATGTTCACGACGTGAATGGGCCCAGAACAACCTATAAATAGCAAGTTCAGCCCTTTAATTCCTTACAACAAATTATTTTCTCTCTCTCATTTGCTGAAGGTGTTCCGCATCCCGAGCCCGACAATCACGAATTGCCGACCATTTCTAGTTAGATTCTATCAAAGCACGCTACAAGTGAGTGCATAGTTACTTTCATCTTACATATAGATATGAAGTATTTAATCTTATAAATTATGTGTTATGTGTGCATATTATAAGTGTTCTTGATATCTATGTTAGATGAATGATTTATACATGTTTTAAATGATTTAAACCGTATATGTATTTTATATCTACAAGTATGTTGGGTAAAAAATGGGTAGATGAAGTAGTTGGTGTGTGATGATAGATGAGTTAGGTTATGAGAGATAGATGATGATAGAAAGGTGATGATAATTAGGTGATGATAGAAATGTGATGATAATTAGGTGATGATAAATAGATGATGTGAGATGAGAGGAGGTACCATAACCTTGACCAGCGATGTGGCGATGTACTCATCTACCAGAGTATAGATGACGACCACAGACTATTCTACATAGTCATGTGGAAACACCAGCGGGCTCATAACCTGTAGGTGATGAATTACGAGTTCAAGAAATGTTGTAACTACGTATTCATGTGATGATACTCTAACCCCTTACTATGAATTACGAGTTCAGGCGATGTTGTAACTACGTATTCATGCGATGATACCCTAACCCTTGCTAGACACGTATTGAGGGAGTAATCCCCGAATTAGTACTGTCTATGAGATGATCCTTAGGAAAAGTCCTTAGGAACAAACATATAAGGAAATGAGTTTTAAGGAGATGAGATATAAATACGATGTAGGAGATGACCCTTATGATAATTCTTTAAGGAAGGTACTTAGGAATAAAGAAGATAATGGGGATGGGTAATTGATTTATTTGCTTAATGGAACATAATAGTTATAGTATTGTGTGTCGAAAACCCTATGTACTCACCAGGTTTCCCAACCTGACCCACTCAAGCTTATTTGTATCACATGTATCGATACGAAGCTACTTTACAATGAGAGATTAAAGGAGATGTAGATCGCTAGTGTAAATAAATGTAAGGCATGTTTATGCTTATGTTTCTATATTGACAATGACATCCCAAAGTTTTAATATACATAAAATACATTTCTTCGGAAATGCTTTGATAATATATTTATCATGTTTTTCTGAGAACAATTTCCGCAATATATTTATCTACAAATATACTCTGATTTTTATAAAGCATAAACAAATCGGTCTTTTCTGGCCGTAAAATTTGGGGATGTCACATTGAAGGTATTATAGTTGAAAATTATTCGTAATTATGGTTATATGGAGAGTAAATAAAAAGGTCAAATCCTGGTTCAACAATCAAAATCGATGTAGATTGTATGCCAGATAGGAAAATTTACTTCAGTAAGTATTATGTGTGTTTTGATGGTTTGGAGAAAGGGTGGATTGTAGGATGTAGTAGGGTAGTTGGGATTTATGGATGCTTTCTGAAAAGAATATGCCGGGGTCAATTATGTGTTGTAGGGAGAGATGTTACTAATTAATCAAATTTACCCAATTACTTAGTTAGTGGTTTATATGGGAAATAAGGATAATTGGAAATGGTTTCTTGAATTTATGATATATGATCTCAATCTGGAAATAAGAAAAGGATTCACTTTAATGTTAGATAAACATAAGGTATGAAATTTTTGTATGTTACAATACAGTTTAATGTTTGCTAACTTATATAAAATTTTAGGGGTCTTATGGAGGATGTTAAAGAACTACTACCCCAGGCTGAACATAGGCAATGTACGATGAAAGAAAGAAGACTCTCATTACAATGTTGGAAGAGATAAGGATGTACATGATGGAAAAATTATTCAAATCTAAAAATAAAGGATGGTCAAATGGCATTTCTCCTAAAATTAGGCTGAAGTTTAAAGGCTTAATTATTGATAAATTAATATGGAAGGTATTACTTAATAAACTTCATCAATTAGAAACAAGATCAGACAGTGAAGCTTTTAAGGTTGACCTAGAGAGGAAAACATGTTCTTGAAGGTAATGGGAATTAAATGGTTATGGTTTGCTTATTCCATAATTGCAAATTATTTTTTGAATAGAGATGTAGAAACATATGTAGATCCTATGATCACTAGAAATATGTACAATAAGACATACCAATACAACATATTTTGAATGAATGATAACAATATGTAGTCAAAAACCATATATGCTACACCATTACCTTATAATACTAAAAGAATGCATAGAAGGCCTGCCATAAAAAGGGAAAAAAATATATGTTTGTGGGGATGGGGAAACATAGAGTATCTAAGAATGGAAATGATATATTATGTAGCATTTGAAATGAGTTAGGACACAATAAGAAAACATGCTCAAAGATGGATAGAACAAGTAAATTACAAGTTAAGAGAACTAAAAAGACATTACATATTATATTCTTCTTCAATACTATCCTAATCCTTTTAGGTTGTATTCATGTTCAATATTAGCTTAATGTCATTTATAGGTTGGAAGTAATAGAGAGAATGTACCTACCAGAAATGATGGACGAAACTTGCATGTTAGAAGTGTTGGTGGCAATGAACATGCTGCAAGTCTTGAGTGCAATTAAGGAAATGTACTTGTTGGAAGTAATGGGGGCAATGAACCTGCTGCAACACCTCTAAAGAAGAAGAAAAGTGAAAAAATTATAAAGGCAAAACTTTCAAAAACAATTTTGGGAAATATGGTGAAGGAACAACTCTAACAAACTAGTAAATGTATATCGGTTTGTTGCATGCATGGAAGGCAATTATTTATATTACTTTTGGTACTTTCTCAACATGTTATGTATTTTAAAGGTGGCACGACATTGGTAGTTACTACATGAGTTTTATGAAAACAATTTCCTTTTTGGAAACAACATTCTGGCACTTTTGGATGTATATGTATGCATTGAAAGCACCAACTTTTGTTAACTATTTGGATTTTTGTTTATGCATGCATTGAAAGCAACATACAAACCACTAAAGTAGAGCACTTTATAAAAACAAAGTGGACCAAACATGGAAATTGTATTGGTATATACAATATGGACTAACAACATACATAAAAGTTACAACATGGAATCTTAGTTAGAACTCTGTTCACATTCATTAATATTTGATAGATTTTTTTTACATAACATGCTAACCCTTTTACATTACCAAAAGAGCATGCAAGCTTATACATCAAACATATGTTAATACAGAAGAACCCACCATTTAGCCATAACATGCCAAACCAATTATCTATCTACCCCCAAAAGAACTTCTAACATTAACATTCAACCATGAAGTACACTATGGGTATAATCTATCCTAAAAGAAAACTCAACCAACAACACATTAATCAAACAAGAAGTACAAAGGTACAACTGAAGTCTCATCTTTCTCTTTAAATCTGTAACCTGTAATTGGAATTCAACACACTTCTCATTCGCAGCCAACTAAAGAGCTTTATGTTTCTCCACCTTCCTCTGTAGCCTCTCCGATTCATCATTGTTGTTCAGTTACTCAATCCACCTATTATGATACAAAATATAGTATTTTTAGTGTTGGTTAAGTAATGGGTCTATCCACTTCAAGAAGTTACAACTATCAGCAGATGTCTACAACAATAACATATTTATCGACACATAAATTAGGGTTTTCGATAACTGAATCAAACCTTTTGTTTCGAACCAAAATTACTACATTTTGATTCACAATATATCTACGATCTATCCAAAAACAACAAATAAATCAATTCTTATCCAACAAGAACTAACCCTAGAAAATTCAGGGTTTTTAGATTCGCATACTTTGACAAAACAACACCGATTTTGTCAAGGTATAAGCATACAAATCCTTACAAATGCTTATCATTGATTTCTTGCGGTTAAAGAGCTCCCTAATAGGGTTATTGTCATTTGTAGACACACGTTCTTTTGAACTCATTGGTACACGACATAAGCACTTGGGAGGTTCATTGACACAAACAACGGGAAGATATTAGGATGATGTAGAAAACGAATATGAAGACATTGTTCAAACCATCAGAAGGCTTTTTTTAATGAAGTCGATTGAGAGAAGAGCTTATATATGGTCGTCTTGCCTTAATGGTCTAGTTCATGCATGTCCAAATATGTTGTTGGCCTCTTATTCGACTACTTTAACTTCTTAAACAAGTTGTTTCTTATTTAAATGACTTAGGTTAAAAAAAAATACTTAAATAACCATTTAAAACCAAAAGTTTAATTTTATGGGGTTTTCATGACAAAACCCTATATTTTAATTATATGTCTTCTACTCATTTTCTAACATTGATTTGTTTATTACTTATTGTTTTTTTATGTTGAAATAATCGGTAAATAAAGAATTCTAAACCAAGCAAATTTACAAACCGATAAAAGAATAAGCAAAAGGCAAGTACGTGACAAAGAGTATGGCCATGACTTCTACGATCTACGAAATGTACACTAAAAAATAAAAAGAATAACAAACCACATTTATCACGAAATCATAATGTCTCCGGGGCTAAGCCGCTTTTATCTACAATAAGTAATCTATTATCTATGGGTATATTACTTACTCAATTATTATATAATTATTTTTGTAGTTGTACATAATTAAATATACATTATAAACACAATAAAACCTCGAAATCAATTAGAACCCGAGTCAGGTTCTTATAAGCTCGATAGTTACTTATTTTGAGGTCCTTTTTGTATTTTAAACTCGATCTTCATTTATAAATAAATAAAGAAATAAACTCAAAAATCTGAACTACAAATGAATCTTACATGAGAATTCAGAAATACATCGTGAGTGGCACATAGAAATGAAAATAGCCGCCATAGGCCGACTTATTTTGACGTGCGTATTTTCCCTTGCCACATCACCATCCAATCCTTTCTTTCCACGTCAGCATTCCCATCCCCTGCTCATTCAACGGTCCAGATCACATCCAACTCAACTCATCCTAAAATCCAACGCTGGTCCACCTTCTTCCAGGCACTTCGTTGTTCGTACCAAATATTACGGCAAAAAGAACACAAAAGTATTATAAAGAAAAAAAATTTACTTTCTAAAACTTGTATCTAAAAATTATTCTGGTTAACGCTATAAATTTTTAATTTTATAGTGTTTGAATAGTTTTATTTATCAAATGACACCTAACTCAAAATCTGTAAAACATTTAATGTGTATTCAAGAAAAATATTAATTGATACACGTAATAGTCTCGTCTATATATAGTAAATGTAATTAATGTTGAAAAAATAAATTACAAATTGCACTTTGTTTAATATTGTACAAAAGTTACACATTGGCCCCTCACTTGTATATAGATAATGATGAGACATGGAGATGGTTTTAGAGAGAGAAAGCGAAAGAGTTTTAGAGCGAGAAAAAGAAGCAAGAACAGGGAGAAAGGGTTTTTTTTATCTGTCGTGTCTCTCCGTTTGAAGCTTATCCCTTCACGAATAAACCCTCCCGCCGCCGTGTTCTCTCCGATTGATTCTGCTATTCGGGTCTTTGATTCTTTATCTGTGATTCTCCTCAAAGGATCTATTCATTTGGTGAGTTATTCTCTGTTGTTCTTGACCCCCGTATCTCGCGTTTCTCAGTTTATATATAATTAATCGCGTTACGACAATCTTTCTTGATAAATTTGACTTGAGATCTCATTGATAGCTCTTTTAATGCTTTTGTTACTAATTCAATTCAAAATTTTAAGATTTTGTTTGTGGGTTTCCCCAAAATGTTTGTAATAAAAACCTGATTGTAATATAAATTAGCTATATCGGAAGTCTGTACATATTATCCCAATTGTCTCTGTTTGCTGATACTGTAAAATGTGACCTGTACAAGCTCGATTTCCATGCTTGGTTGTTCCGATAGAGATTTAAGAAACCAATCTTTAGATTTCGTATTTGATTCTTCTTTCTGTTCTTTTGCTACAGATTAGGAAAACAGACTGATTCGAATCGGTAAGATGCACTGATACCATATCCTATCCTGAGAACTTAACCAATCGTCTCCAGATTTAGATCTTATTCGGGATCGAATTGGGAGAATCCATCTTTTCCCCTTTCCTTCGGTTCATGTCTCGTAACTCAGACAGTCCAGTTCAAACCCAAATGGCGGTCGCTGTTTTCAACAGTCCTTTAGGGAGAGAATACCATGGAACCAGTAAAATGGAAGGGATGAAGCATTTAACAGGAAGAAGACGAGTCTTTGTTCAAACTGAATCCGGTTGTGTCTTAGGAATGGAGCTAGATCGAAGTGATAACGCTCATACAGTGAAACGAAGGTTACAAATAGCTCTAAGTCTCCCAATCGAAGAAAGCTCTCTAACTTTTGGTGACATGGTTTTAAACAACGACCTCAGTGCCATTCGTGACCATTCTCCTCTTCTCTTAACAAGAAACATCTTACACAGAAGCTCTTCAACTCCATGTTTATCCCCAACTGGTAGAGACACCCGCCAAAAAGACCAAAACATCCCCGTTGAAATCCTGGGGCATTCTAGTAATTTCAACCAAACAAAACCACTCGTTGATGAAGTTGTGAACGCGATAATCTCCGGGGTTGACCCGATCCCGGTCAACGGTGGTCTTGGAGGAGCTTATTACTTCAAAAACTGTCAAGGTGAAAGTGTCGCTATTGTAAAACCTACAGATGAAGAACCTTTTGCTCCTAATAACCCAAAAGGGTTTATTGGTAAAACCCTTGGTCAACCAGGGTTAAAACGGTCAGTTCGCGTTGGTGAAACCGGTTTCAGAGAAGTAGCAGCTTATCTTCTTGATTATGATCATTTTGCTAATGTCCCCCCTACAGCTTTAGTCAAAATCACACATTCAATCTTCAATGTCAATGACAGTGTTTGCAACAACAACAACAATAAGAACAACAAGAAGAAAACAGAAAGAAAGAAGAAGGTGTTTAGCAAGATTGCTTCATTTCAGCAATTCATCCCTCATGATTTTGATGCAAGTGATTATGGAACTTCAAGCTTCCCTGTGTCAGCTGTTCATAGAATCGGGATCTTAGATATTCGAATCTTTAACACAGATAGACATGGAGGAAATTTGTTAGTAAGAAAGATGAAAAATTCTGAAGTTGGAAGATTTAGTGAAGTTGAATTGATACCTATTGATCATGGGCTTTGTTTACCTGAAAATCTAGAAGACCCGTATTTCGAATGGATCCATTGGCCTCAAGCTTCGATTCCATTTTCAGATGATGAACTTGAATACATTGAGAAACTCGATCCGTTTCATGATTCAGACATGTTAAGATCTGAACTTCCAATGATAAGAGAAGCTTGTTTAAGGGTTTTGATTTTGTGTACGATTTTTTTAAAAGAAGCAGCTCGATTTGGTTTATGTGTTGGTGAAATTGGAGAGATGATGAGTCGGGAATTTCGTAGGGGTGAAGAGGAACCGAGTGAACTCGAGGTGTTATGTATGGATGCAAGAAGATTATTAGCTGAAAATGAAAATGAAAATGACATCACTTATGATAATCATGAAAGTGAAAATCAATTTCAGTTTGAAATTGATTGTGATGATTCGATTTCTGCTTTTGATTTTACTCCTAAAATGTCGGAGAATTTCGTAAACAGTAATCTTTCATTCCATTTGAGAAACCCGCTTTCGAAGCTTGAAGAAGCGATTGAAGAAGATGAAAGTGAAGAAGATGTTTCAAATCTGTCAATGTCTTTCAAGAACAACTGTAGTTTTAGTGATAAGTTGAAGAAGAAAACAGAGAATATGAGTTATGTAGGAGTGAATTCGTCATCCGGACACAGGAGTGCCAATGAGCTGATGCCAGCTGGCGCTAGTTTTGTGAAGCTTTCAGACATGAATGAAGAGGAATGGAGTTTGTTTCTTGAAAAGTTTCAGGATTTGATTTACACAGCTTTTGCTAAACGTAAGTCAATTTCAATAGGACAAAGGCAAAGACAAAGGCTTGGGACTTCTTGCCAGTTTTGAGAGATAGGAGGATTATAATTACATGTTTTCATGTTGCATGTTTTAAGGGTTTGACTTTGAATAAGTTGACTTTCAGGGTTGTTGGAGTGAAGTCTTTGGTTATTTAGGGTTTAGGGTTTCTTTTGTTGTTTTAATTAGTTGAGGGGTATGTTGTGTAAATATTCTTGAAAGACTACCTTTCTTTTAGTTAGGATTGGGGTTGCACTTTAGTTTCTTGCTTACCTTTGTTCTTGTGTACTTTGTTTATATCAATAAAATATGTAGCAATGAAAATGTTATGTAGTATAATTAAAATCGTTTCACATAATTACAAGAAAAATCGTTTTACATAATTAAAAGTTATGAGCAAAAATCATACATTAGATACAAACCAAATACAAAATTACAAATGCAAATACATTACCTGTGAAATAAGATTAATAAAATAATAATGTTAAAAATAAACAAGTGAAATAAGATTAATAGATACTTGTGATAAATAGTTTGATGTTAGACGTGTCTCCATGGTCTTTCAGCAAGATTGACACATTCACTGAATCTAAAACAGTCAACGAGATGGTCAATGCTGATTCCAGCAGCTTGCATGAATGAGTAGACAATGACTGGGCCCACAAGTCGGAAGCCATGCTTGAGTAAATCTTTGCTAATGGCTTCGGCTTTTGGTGTTCTTAAGGGTACGTTTCTTGGATGTCTGCATCTGTTGATTGTTGGTTTATAATTTACAGAACCCCACATGTATCCACTAAATGATCCATGTGTTTTTGCAATCTGAATAAACCAATAAACGATATTATATTATATAACTTCAATTTTATATGTAATTATGAGTATAAATCAATGAGTGTTTTAAGTGATAAAATGAAGTTACCTTGAGGATGCATTTGGCGTTTTCAACAATGGATCTGACTCTACTTTCACCTAACATCATGTCCTTGTTCGAGGCTATTTCCATGATGTCTTCTTCTCCCATTTTTGCAACGATATTTGGTTCGAATCCACAGAAAGCTTCTCTATAATTAATTAACGAAAGAATACATCAAATGATAAAAATCACCATATTTCTTTTATTTTGACTCATTAAAGAAAGAATCAATTTTTTTTTTGTTACCTGACAAGATTCTTCCTTTTAAGGATTTCCGTCCAATTGTAATTCATCAGCATTCCACACAATGAAAGCAATTCGAACAGTTGGCTGTTTAGATGTTGTTACAAGTTTCCAATTTAATGATCATTAATTGTTGTTCAATCAACAGTTGCTATTGTACATTTTGACAATTTAAGGAAACATAAAACTATAAAAGATCACGTACTTGTCGTCATACACTGGAACTCCCCAGCATTCATCATGGAATTCAACATAAAGTTTATCTGAAAAAAAAAAAACATCACAATCCAACATTTGTCTCATCATATACATACATACACATATTAATAATCCAAAACTTTTTATGTGAAGGTCCTAATAATTAAGCGTAAAAAAAAAAGATCACGTACTTGTTAATCCATTTCATGAGTTAAAATGTTATATTTTTGAGTGATCGGGGTTGACTTCTTTTTAAATGGTTTGGTGAATCCCAAAGAGTAACAAGAAGATACTATATATAGAGTGGTTGCAAATATAAACATATTTTATACGTGCTAATCATTTAATCAAGAGTTATTCCAAAGGAATACAAATTTGGTATATTAGGTTTTATGTTTCTGTCACACCAAACACCAAACCAATATAAAATTCATAGCAAAGAAAGTAAAATACTAATCAACTCCATGACTCATATTCGATTATCGTATTCATTTTTGGATAACTCTACACATTACAAATTAAAAACTTGATCATCCACATTTTGTAAGGATCAAGGAATAGATTCCACATGCAAGTTGTTAATTATAATTCACTTATCATAAACAGATTAATTATATGTTGTATATATGATTGTATCAATATCATTCACATTAAGAACATGACTATGCCTATGAACACAAGCTTGTCAAGTTTATATAAGAACTTAGTAAACTTACCACTGTTTTTAGTAATCCAATTGCATCTTCTCAAGCCTTGATCCTCACAATTGATGGGATCCAAATTATTCACATGATTGCTAGTAGTTTTAGCAACGGGTTGCTCTCTTCTAGAAGGTGTTGGTGTAATGATGAGTTGAAGTGCAGATGAGATTGTTTGCTCGAGTGTAGGAGAAGAATCTGTAAACGAGTCATTGGAGTTATGTGAAAGAGTTAAAGAAAGTGAAGATAAGGAAAGAAGTGAGCTTGTTTTGTGAATCCCAACAGGGTAAACTTTCTTCAAGTGTTTGGATATGAGGCTTTGTGTTGATGAAGGTTTCTCTTTGTTACTCCTTGGATTTGGAGAAGTTGTGTTTTTCTTTTCCACAATGTTTCTCTTCATGTTTTCTTTCGACATTTTTGAATAAAGGAAAAATGGATACCTATCAACTATTGCTTTGAGTAAACTTGCTTGTGATTTGAATATTTATATAGGGGAGAGGGTTGGATGTCAAATATAGGATATATACATGGTTGGTGAAATGTGGTATTTTCTTTATGCACCACTAGCACCTTATTTTTCTCAAGAAATTAATTAAAAATTTAATTAACTTGGTTTGAAAATGATGGTTGAATTTTTTTGAGGCTGGTCTTCAGGAAGATATATTTCCCTCCAAAGGTTGTGAATAGATTTCTTTGAGAAACCATTACATATATCGATTGTTTATTAATATCAAACCCTTATTGTCAACAATACCATCTTATCAATGGCTACAAGTATTAATAATAAGAATTTGCCGAATCTAATGAAGATTTTTGCAGTTACAAGTTATTAAGTCTAAATGATTTTTATATTTGATTTCAATTCTTTCATATATTTTTTCAATCTTATTACTAGCATTATTATATGTGATTCTTTTTATGCATGCTTTTATGTTCTAGTAATTGAAGTGGTTGGAATGTTCGTCTCAAAGAGGTAAAAACTTAAGTCCCACTCAAGTTGCACCTTAAGTCTTGAGACATACCCATTGCCCAAATAGACAAAGATATCCCATCTGTTGTTCTTTCTGGTTTTTTACTACATGCTCAGAGTCTTGCAAGTATCATGGGCCTTTTCATATAATAGGGCTATTTTTGAAATACAAGGTAGCCAAGGATGCAAAAGATAAATAGATGCCTCTATGACACCTAAATGCCACAACGTATGTGATGTAAAAGCTCTTTCTTTCTTTTGTTGCAAATAATCACTTCAAAATAATCTTAAGAGTTTGCTTTCAATGATCAGTAAGTATCACCACTAAAAACAAACTTTCTAACAACAAAAGCACCTATAAAAAAAAAGTATGTTGCTAATAGTGATGGAGCGTTGCTTAAAAAACTATAATTCATTTTCTAGCATCGGAAATAAGTTTGTAGCTGATCTATTAAACAAATTTATTTCTTCGGAGAGGATGATAATGTTCTTTAAAAATTCATTGTTAATCCATCTTTTGAAGTTATAAGATTTTTTTTAATTAATAATTTTTTTTCGCTAAATTTGTAATTTCCTAAATCAATTATTTCTTAAAATTTTAGTGTTTTTATAAATATATTTTTTATTGTAAAAAAAACTACAAACATTTAAGTTAAATTGGTTATCACTTTTTTAAATGAATAAGCAATGGTCGAAACATGATAAAATGACAAAGGTAAAACACATGAAATTATAAATAACATGTTGGAAAATTTTCACTTTGAAAAATTTTCAAAAAAATTACATTACGTTGGAAAATTTAAGGGTAGCACAGACTACCCTGTGCAACCTATTCCTGCCCCTATACTATCGAGCCACGAAGTGTTGATGGTTCATACATACCTATATATATATATATATATATATATATATATATATATATATATATATATATATATATATATATATATATAGGTGTAGAATGTGTATATGTGACACCAATTTTCTAGAATAGATCAGTTGGTGACCTGAAGGAGTCAAATGTATGGTATTTCAGGAAAACCATATGCGACGACGTAGTGGGATGCTGACCATGACTTGGCAAGCAAGATGCCACGATGTGGCGAGTGTTACAGCCAAGCCCGTATTTTTTTTAGGGTCTTCTCTATATTCAAAGGTATTATCTCTAGGGTTAGATCATTTCCCATCAGCCTCTACCCTCCTATCTCGAAACCCTAACATCTTCTCTTGTCTTTTGAGCTCTTTGTTGGCATCTTGGACATTTGAAGGTTGAAGACGGGCTTTATAATGCAAATGATCAACTAGCATCTTTTCTCCATCTCTTGGTGCATCTTCTGGACTTGTGTGAGTCTCCAAGTTCTCACCTTTATGATTCATTCTTGTAGATCTAGAATTTTGGGCTCATTTTTCTTCATGATATGTTGGTATAAATGGTTGGTTTTGATAAAGTTGACAACTTTATCACTTCTTTAGGTCGCTTGGTCATCATATGTTCCAGATCTAGACTTTCATGTTGCTTGGTGCAATGCATGGAGTTTTGACTCAATTTCTTACCCTATTTTGACCTAGTTTGGGAGAGACATGTGTTGGGGATCCATGTATATAAAGTAAGGATTTTTATGGTTTATTTGAGGGCATGGAAGCCTTTTGGAAAGTTGGAGAAAAGGACTTAACGGATTAAGTCCTTAATGATAAAATTGGCTTCTACCAGTAGCCACGACGTGGCGAAAGGATGATCATGATGTGGTGGAGTCCAACCTCACAATTGTTTTGTCCAGACGTGGCCAAAAAGTGATGATGCCCTGCTTATTGTCTATTTTGTCATGTCATGCCCACGACGTGACCAAGAGGTCTCCACGTCGTGATGGCTATTGATTTGGTTAACCTTTAACTTTTGTTAACCGTTGACTTTTTGACCTAGTTGACTTTTAGTCAAATTGTAGGTTTTAGAAGGTATACATAGGGTTTACCTTATGTGATTAATTAGGAGGAGTGTAGCACTCGTTGTTTGTCTATGTGAGCTTGTTAACTGCCAATTACGTTTATGAGGAGAGTCTTCTCACTATATTATGTAGGATATTAGTTGTCTTCATGATGCTTGTATGAAATATAAGGATCTGCCCCCTGGCATATGTACAGAAGACTAAGATCTGGCCTCTAACATACGTATGGAAGGCCATGATCTGACCCCTGACAATTTGATATGTGCATATATATATATATATATATATATATATATATATATATATATATATATATATATATATATATATATATATATATATATTACATCATATCTTAATATTTTTAACTATATTTATGCTCATTATAGGACAAAAGATACTTAATCTATTATACGTTGTGATATAGAAGCAAAAGTCATGCTCGGGAGCAAAAAGGAAGCTGGAAGCTAGGAACTTAGACCAAGGTTGAAAAGAAGCAGAGAAGCTTCATTACCATGGTGTGATGACCTCCACCGTGACATGGCATCTTAAAAGATCCCGATGACGTGGCAAACCGACTTTAAGAATTATAAATAGGACACAAAGTTCTCCGAAAACCTAACTCTTTCTGGAGCTTTAGTCAACTTTTGAAGGCCAAGAATGTTATTTGGAAACTTGGAGGTGTTGAAGATTGATTAGAAGCTTGATTTTGAGAGATTTGAGGCAATAGTTCTTATATTTACTTATTCATCTTGTGTTTGATCATGGATTACAAGTTAAATTTTATTTTTAAATGTTTGTTTGATGAAGTTATGGGCTAAATACCCTAACTTTCGTTTAGACTAGATTACATGCTTATTTATGAACCTCCCTTTGTAGCCGACTTTGATTGTGTATTTAGTTGCATCAAATCCTTCCCTATAGGAACTTCTTGCGGGAGAGATGACTTGAGGGCTCAACACTTACTAGACGCCCTTTGTGGAGAAGGGTCTGCTATTGCCACAGATCTCATACATGCTATCACTTCAGTTGTTAATTTATGGTTAGAGGGAAGATGTCCAACCATTTTGGCAGAGTTTGTTGCATCCGCTCCTCTCACGCCTCTACTTAAACCTGACAACAGAATCCGTCCGATTGCAGTAGGCACTATATGGAGACGTCTGGTTTCCAAGGTTGCCATGAAAGGTGTGGGTAAAGAAATGGCCAAGTACCTTAATGATTTTCAGTTTGGGGTTGGTGTATCTGGCGGTGCTGAGGCTGTGTTACACAGTGCCAATAGGGTGTTGAGTGAACACCATGCTGATGGGTCTCTTGTAATGATGACTGTGGATTTTTTGAATGCCTTTAACCTGGTGGATCGTTCAGCATTGCTCCACGAGGTTAAGAAGATGTGCCCTTCCATTTCTTTGTGGGTGAATTTCTTGTATGGGCACGCAGCGAGACTTTATATCGGAGACTAACATATATGGTCTGCCATTGGGGTGCAGCAAGGTGACCCCTTGGGCTCTTCTTTTTTCCCTTGTTTTGCACCCACTTGTGCACAAGATTAGAGACAATTGTAAGATCCTTCTCCATGCTTGGTACCTAGATGATGGGACTGTTATTTGGGATTCAGAGGAGGTGGCTAGAGTGTTGAACATAATTCGGTTGCATGGTCCAGGTTTGGGTCTCGAGTTGAACATCAAGAAAATGGAGATTTTTTGGCCCTCATGTGATGGTAGGAAGCTTCGGGCTGATTTATTCCCTACGGAGATAGGGAGACCTTCTTTGGGGGTGAAACTCCTTGGGGGGGCTGTTAGCAGAGACGCGGGGTTTATTAGCGGGTTGGCCATGAAAAGAGCGGTCAATGCTGTTGATTTGATGGGCCTTCTTCCACAACTATGTGACCCACAGAGTGAGCTCGTTTTTCTTCGATCATGTATGGGCATTGCAAAACTTTTCTTTGGTTTAAGAGCATGTCAGCCGGTACACATAGAAGAGACAACGTTATTCTTTGACAAGGGATTGCGAAGGTTTATCGAGGATATGGTGGTATGTGGAGGCCCCTTCTTTGGAGACATTCAGTGGCGCTTGGCTTCCTTACCTATTCGTTTTGGTGGTTTGGGTTTGTACTCGGCCTACGAGGCCACATCTTACGTGACAATGGCATATGTGGTATGGATTCGGATTATCTATGTGCTATGACTCGTCTCCGTGATACGATTCTGGGATTTGACTGTAGCGGTTTCACTAATAAGGACACCGCCCCCTAAATCCCAAAAAGTTTTGGCGTGTGCCCTTTTTAGCAAAATCGTCCAAGATATGGAAGTCAACTTCGAGATGAATGTCAGACAGAAAGCAGTCTTTGAGTGTCTGCGGGCGCCTCATGGTCATGATTTTCTTCTAACTATCCCTATTGATGGTCTTGGCCAGTATATGTCTCCTGTGGAGTACCGAACTATCCTTCGTTACCGCCTCATGATTCCCATATTCCCAAGTGATGAGATATGCTCAGTTTGTCGAAAGGCATGTTTGGATACCTTTGGGGAACACGCGGTTCATTGTAGAGAGCTCCCTGGTTTCAATTAT